GAGCCTTGTCTTTTGCATTTGTGTCAGATTGAAGAACTGGTTTTAAATTGCAATGTAATGAATCTAACAGTAAGTGGCACTCTTACCTCAAGTTTAGTAGCTACAGCCAGGTGGAGGTGTGGGTAAATGGAGAGAAACAGGTTCTGTTTACAGTATTGAACTTTATTCAACAAGTGAGACTTGCTACTTGTGTCTGTCTGGACTACAGAATCTTTTCTCTAAAAAAGGGTGTGATTTTTTCAAAATAATCAGTATTATGTTGTGAATAAGAGTCTTGATGAGAGCCTTCCTCCCAGGGCTGTGTGGACAAACCTGGGGAAGACCTCAGGCATTATCGTTTGGTACTGAGTAAGACATTAAGATGCTTCTCATATTTGCATAACAAATGACCAAGATCTGTGAAGCTACTGGTTCCCTGCGCCCCACTCTAGGCTTAGAATAAGGGAAGACATTCAAAAGATGGGAATCCAGTGGAGAGATGTGACTGGTCAGGAGTGCATTTTATCAGAACTGTTAGGAAAGATGCCTTTTGGGTCTTTACTGATTTTTACAATAATACATTCAGTAAATATGAGGCTCTACGATGAATACCATACAACCCGTTAAGAGCCATTGAGAATGAAAGATATTCCAGAAATGATCAAAGTTGCTGGATATAATCTGAGTCCATATTTGTATCTTATCTATACATAATCCAATTGGAAAAATATATAAAAACTATTTTATGGATGAGGAAATTGAGACTCAAATGTAACTTGCCACATACCAAGGACACTTCAGCTAATAAATGGCAAAATTAAAACAGGTTTAAAAGAAAAAAAGGCATGGTAGAATTTGGGCTCCACTGTGTAGTCCTGATTGAATCAGTTTCCTTAACTATGGTGTATAGTACCCGTCTTACAGGGTAGGTACCATCTAAAGTTGGGAATGAAAGAGAAGAGCCATTCTAATTCTCTCTGAAACTAGTTTGTCCTCAAGCAACTTACTCAGGTCTCAGCCTTGCTAATTATGCAGAAGCATCTGATCTGAAAGGGCTGAGGTGGTGCCTAAGGGGCTTAGGTGGTGTATGAGCCTGGGGCTCTGAGTTACTGCTATCTACAGGGAAGAGATAAGAAAAGGAGGAAGGCACAAACAATAGAAGTAAAAAGGGACATTACTATAGATTATGTTAATAGTAAGAAATACTAAGAAAATATTCTGGATAACTTTATACCAGTAAGTTGAAAAATTTAGACAAAAAGGTCATGTTCTTATAAAATAACCACTATTGGTTTAAGAATAGGGAAACTGAATAGCTTGCTTCCCTCCTTCACTCCACCCCTCCCCGCCCCCCCGCCCCCCGCCCCCACAACCAGTCTTGAGGT